GGATTCCTTCTCTCTTAAGGCTAATTAACTTCTTGGGTTCAATTGCTTCAATTAAACCCTTGATCTTGATTAAGAAGGTGTGTTGTGGGCTTCCCCAACCTCCATACTACCTAAGAGGAATCTTGGCATATCATGCTTCATGATTGCTATAACCAATTTGGGATGAATGATAAGCTTCATGTTGGATCCTAATGATAAGCACACAAATGTTCATTGTGTTGAATTGCCTTGGTTAACCAATTGTTCCCAACATTTGAGCATCTCACTATCTTGCTTCATTGCAAGTTTTTAGTTATTCAAGTCTTTTAGTTTTAAAGCAATCATAACATCCCCCTTTTTTTAGTTTAATTGTAGTTAGTTAGTTTATTTACAATAGTTCTTTTAGATTGCATTGGTGATTGAATACAACCATTTCCCCGAGGATCGTTACCCCTTTTTACCATTATATTATGTTTTATTTGCAAACAAATGGTGTAATTTGCTTGGTGGACTTGACAACCCACCAATACCATAACTTCACCTACTTTTCAAACTTTATTAAAAAAAACTCCAAAGTTGTGTTGGGAGCTATGTTCAAGTACGTGTCAAGGGACAACGTCCTTTTTTTCTTTAAACAGCTTAATTTTATTAAACTAGGAGGGAGCTAACAAATAAAAAAATTATAGAGAAATAGCAAGTAAAGAATTTTGCAGTCAATCTCCTTTATAGTAGATACTATTTTGTATATATTTACTAAAATTGAAGATAGATTATATTATTAGCTAACTAATTGACCAACAACTACTAATCAGTAGTAGATCAACAGCTACAAATTGTTAGTATATCCTACATTAATGCTATATAGTTTTATATGTCTTTATATATTTTGACGTATTTAATACTCTTTTGGAGAACAAACAAAAACTCTATGTGTATCTTACATTGATGGGAGCAACAACTACTCTATTGATGTTGTAATGCTTAAATTTGTTGGTAATTGTTTGTTACCTATTGCAATCGCCATGAAACGTCGCGATGCCTCCTTAGGTAAGTTAATTGATGCAAAATAATATTAAGAAAAAAAAATTACAAAGCTGCAAAGTATGCATGTAAGGGTATATGCATTATATATAGATGCCAATTGAGGGATGTTTATGTGCCCAATGAGGAATTGAGAATAACATTTACAGCTTGAAACGTGTATACTCAACATTCATATGATGGAGATTTTATATTGGGATTATTTTGTGCAATGATACATTTACAGATTAACTTATTATTATTTCCTCTTGTTATTACATATGTTATCTCATCTACCTTGCAGTATTTGCATTAATTGCATATATTATCTCATCTACCTCGTAGTTTACGTTATGCCATATGAAAATACTATATTAATACAATTCCCCTTTGTCATAGCATGCTTCCATTATTGATGTACATAAAGCACAACTCTCTGAATCATATGTACAATTTCTCTAAACATGTACCTTAAGACCCTTATTTCCTTCGATCCAAAATGGATCCTAAGTGGGTTATTACCGAAGATCATATTTTAAAGAATGTTATTAACCAAATTCGACTTGGAAGTGTTGTAAGGGTTCCCAACTTGGCCCCATTTTTTGTTGTTGTGTATGATGAACTTTGTGAAACATCATGTCACATTAGATAGTACTATGCTATAAGTTAATTTAACAAAATGTGATTTGAAATATCTAGGTACAACATTCAACGTTCGAATAACAATTTGAAAAAAATATAATAAAAATATTATCTTTTTAATATTATTTTTTCTATTATAATTAATTTAAAAGAAAATAACAATAACCATAAAAAATTATAAGGTTTTTTCCACAAAATATCAAAAAATGACCAAAATAGTCGTGATTTTCTCAGGTAACATTGAGATTTTCATATACAAACTTCATAACAATCATCAAATTATCTTCGTTCTCCCAATTATAAGGGTGTCCTGCAAAAATCTCAAAAAATAAAACTGCATGACATCTAGATTTTCGCAGGTGTTGAACTGAAAAAGTTATTTATTTATTTTCTAATTTGGAAAAAATCATAGGCCATCTACATTTTCACAAATGGCGACCTGCAAAAATATCAACAAAAAAAAGTCGTAGGCCAATTAGATTTTTGCAAATAATGACCTGCAAAAATTGTGGTTTTATGGTCATTATTCACTATTTTGTTGAAAAACTATAGAAAAATGTTTATTATTGTCATTTTCCTCTTAATTTAAGTCATTTATTCGGATTTTCAATCGTAATTTTTATTATATTACAGGCGGTAATGACCTAGGAGGGTAATAAGGTTTTAATTTTGTCTACATTAGGTCTCTAAGATCTTTTTTGTACATATTACATTAACATGGTTGTTATAACCGTTTAAAGAGGGTAATAAGGTTTTAATTTTGTCCACATTAGGTCCCTATTTTTAATATTTTTATCATTTCATCCAATTCTTTTACAATTTATATTAGTAGTATCTGGTTAGATGGTTTCATCATTTCGTCTTTCCATTTTAGTCGTCCATTCACCGCAACCAGTAGTTTCAATTGAAAGATTACATAACAATTTTTTTTATCGTTTTAACAAAAAAAAAAAAATTCGAAGTCGTAATGATTAAGGATATGTTTGGCGCGCCTCAGCTAACTGATAAACTAGCTTATTTTTCGATTTTTTTTAAGTTGTCATGTTTGACAAACCAAAAAGTAGCGTTTTAAAATGCTACTTTGACAAACTTTTTAAAAGTTTTTTTTTATTATTTTTCAAGTATAGCCTTAATTAATTATAGAAAACATATTTTTTAAATGTCCTTTTATGTCATTATATAAATTTCAGATAGTTTATCAGCTAATGGCGGAACCAAGATCAAAGTAAATAAGTATCCCCGACACGTAAAGGGGTATCCCCAGCAAGTAAAGGGGTATCCCCGACAAATCTTGTATCTCTAATCTCTTTTAGAAGGGTTAATGACCTAGGAGAGTAATAAGGTTTCAAATTTGTCCACATTAAGTCCTTAAGGTCTTATTTTTTACATATTACACCAACATGGTTGTTATAACCGTTTAAATGTTGCCCCGTTAATGTTTAAAGTGATGACATTTAAACGGTTGTAACAACTATGTTGGTATAATATGTACAAATAAATACCTTAAGGACCTAACGTCGACAAATTTGAAACCTTATTACCCTCCTAGGTCATTAACCCTATTATAGTTGATTCATCAGCAATAAGCTTGGACATCCCATATGAAATATTTCAAGTTTAAACATTAAGGGTTTCAAATATTACGGGTTTTAATTAAAAGATGACAAAAAAAAAGTATGTGACAATTCTAAAAGGGCTCCTTATTATCATTGCAAATGTTAGTCTCCTCCCAAAATCTTGCCAATTCGGTATAAATTCAATATTTTTTGAGACTGTTTTATTTTATTTACATAATGTTAAAAAAATTTGTCTCGGTCTGTTGTATTAAACAATTTGGCAAGGATTAACAGTAAATATATTTTCATTTTCTTAGTATTAATTTTTTATTATTAAAATTAATTTAAACTGTTTGTTCAGATTTTATATCATTCTTTTATTTTTTATGCAATACCAATGTTTTAAAAACCGGTTTTTTAGTTGTATCAGTATGATGACCGGTTTCGGGTTTAACCGGTTCGACCGCCGGGTAAACCAGTTTATATAATTTTCTTCTTTTTTCCTATTTCCTACACATGTATACATATATAAATCATTAATTTGACGTTTAAAAGTTCAAACATTAAAAATAAAAATAAAAATAAGTTGTAGATCAATCCAAAAACATTAAAATAACACATAATCATAAGTTTTAGTGTTTTACATCAATCTGTATACATCAAAAATAATATAAAGTATAATAGCGAAACAAAATATAGTTTTAGATGAATACAAACACATCAAAAAATTTTATAACATTTAACATATGTTTTTATTTAGAGAAAACTAAATAAATTTGAAAAAAGTCACCAAAGTTTATTATGCAAATGGTTTTTTCATGTGTTTTTATTCGATTTAACCGGTTCAACCGGTTTATCTTGACCAGTTCAACCGGGTTTTTCTAAAAACCGGCCGGTTCAATCCGATTCAGAAATCGATGATAGCTGAACCGTTCCCTCCCGCGGTTTCCGGTCCAACCGGCCAGTTCAAACCGGTTTTTAAAACATTGTGCAATACATGATATAAATTTAGATATATAATTGAGACGTTATAATTTTATCTATATAAGTATAAATTTGTCATAATCTTATATATATTAGATATAAAAATATTTTAGGTGGAAATTTTTGTTTTTCTTTAAATCGTTATAGAGTACCTTTTTCTCTTTTATATTTGTTATAAAGTACGTTTTTCTTAAAACCTAATACTTCGAATATATTACTGGTATCATTTTATTTTTATTTTACCTTTACAACTAGTTTAAGCAGTTTAGGCTTATTTTCTATCATAATATCCAAAATATCCTCGGGTTTCCATGCGTCGGCATGAATCCTTAGTGTTATCACATTTCACTATCAAAATGTTATTCGGAATATTTTCATACAACATTCAAAAATTCAAATATTTTATCACTTTCAGAATTGGAAACAAGATTTTTGAGATCTCAAAAACTTGCGTTACATACCATTTTCTCGATGCCATTTTTCCCAAAACTAACCAAATCAAACTATCGAGTATAGACATCACTAAAAAAAACATTACTTTCCTTTAATAAAAGAAATCATGAACGACAATATTATTTAACATTTAAAAACATCAGGCCAAATGTTTACATCAACTGCTTCAACAACATCAAGTACCCTAATTTCACCTAAAACTAAAAAAATAACAAGGAAAATCAACAAAAAATAATAAAGAAAAAAAAACTTAAAGCTTCTGTCATGTTTTGTAAATTTGGATAAAAACTTTGATTGATCAAGAAACCTGACAGAAAAACAGATTCCATATTAACACAGGAATTTATATTTCTATGATTTCTTACCTCATAACACCATATCTGCAACTCTTTCTTCCTCCTTTACAACTTCATCTTTACCATTTTCTTCCAACACTTCATTCTTCTTGTCATCGTTTTCCTTTACATCTTCGATTGTCTGAACACCCTTTTCAATGCTATCTGATTGCTTTAATTCAGTATTATTATTATCTCCATTGTTATTATCCTCTGAACATTGACTTCTTTCATTGTTATCCTCCATTGATCTTCCATACCCTCTGCTTTCACTTTCATTTTCAGAATCATTCTCCACAACCTCTTCAATCAGTCTTTCTGCTCCCCTTCCTTGTCTCTCCAAACACTGCAATCTCATCCTCAAATCATCAAACTCCCTTTCCATCAAGAACAATCTTTCCTTCAGTATCAGATTCTCTTCTTCCAGTTGAGCTATATGTGTATCTTGATCATCAACTCTGTTTTCCAAAAGATAACTACTATGATCAGCGCCATTGTAGTTTGGGTAAATCATTTCGAACCTGCTCAAGTCATGATCCAGTCTCCTTTCTACCTCAACATGTTCTTCAACGTCACTCTCACTTGACCCACCTTCATCTTCTTCATCTTCTTCAGGTGCTTCGGCTTCATTTGATCTAAGTCTGATTAACCCTTTCATTGATCCATACCCATCAACACCCCACTCTTCTTTCGCCATGTCTACTAAAACTTCTCTGGATGGAGAGAAAATCGGGGTGGGTAGAACAGCAGGTGTTACCGGACATGGTGATACTAGAGATGTAATGCCGCCGGCTTTTTTGGCGCGGATTAGAAACGATGTGGTGTTTCTAGGAGCAAAAGGAGCGGATCTGCCGTTATGATTGAACTTCTTCTTCGGGAAGTATCTTCTAGCTTTCAAACGATTCTGTTGTTGTAGTTCGTTAAGCGTAGGGGGGTTATATCCAGCCCCACCGCCGCCGGTGTTGTTGATAAGACTACCACCTCCGCCCATCACCGGTAATTCCTTCCGGTTGTTGTTGTTATTCATCCATTTGTCATTTCCTTTCTTCCCTTTCCAATTCTTGTTGTTTCTTGGTCCCATAGACTTCAATGAAGACGAAGGAAGTCCAGAAGGCTTCATGTTAAGGTTTTGGAACTTGAGTTGATCCACTTGTGGCGGAGGCCACATGCCATAGCCACCACCACCACCACGGTGGTTCAACGATTGATTCACCATCATTTGCGAAGGATTCATCAACTGGTTCACAAACATCTGAGGGTTCTGGTTATTCATTACCTGCTGTGGCTGACTCATCACAGGCGGCAACGGCTGTCCGATACTCATCATCTGCGACTGATTCGCCATTTTCGATTGATTCATCATCTGAGACTGATCGTTCATCAGGACTGCTAACTGAAATCAGTCTATAAGCCTCCGAGAACAAGTCGGTATCAACAAATCGAAAACCTCTTTCAAATTCAAACGATGATTCCAAACAGATCGAAAAGAAAACTACAACAAATTCAAAACCCTAAGGCTCCTAATTTCGAGATCGTTAAACAATAAAATAAGTAAATGAAAAATAATCGCGATTCAAACACAATTGTAGCTAAATTACTGATCAAACATCACATACCAGACCAAATTGAAAAACAACAAACCCTAAACCTATCAGAAAACAAGATTGATTCTCGATATTCACGATTATCTGTCCGATCTAACACAAACAAGGTTAAGATTAACGGTTTTCAGCCACAGAATAGACGATTTGATTTTATGAATATCAAGAATTTTGTTTTGCGATGTTTAGTTCTCGTTTTGGGAATCGCGAAAGGTAGCGTTTATGTGGAGGCGAAGAATGCCCGTGGTTGATTTATATAGGCAGATAGATGATGATATGGACGGTTTTGATTTATTTGTTTGATCGGACGGCTGCAATCGGTTCTTACAAATCTGAGTCAGTTAAGGTTATATTTACAATTAGGAAAAAGAAACTTGATGACATCACTTTCAACAATCACGACCATTCATTGTATTTTCTTTATTAATTTCAACCTTTAGATCGTTTTGCATTATTCTGATGATGTCATCTTAAAGAAAAACAAATCACTGTTGATTAAACGCATTCCAAATTCGCTTGATTACAAAACGTCCGTGTGTAATAAACACTTTCCATGTTGAATTCGATAAATCAGCCACCTAATTAGCAATTTTTGATAAGTTAATGAGGATGATTGCAACATATTTGATTGAAATCCTTTCTGAATCGCTTCCTCAAGCTCAGCTATTACGCGATTACATCGTCTCTAGATTAGGGTTCTATATTGTTATTCATCTTTTCATTCTGATTAATCTTAACCAACAGAGCTATCGGATGATTCTAATCGTCTTCTCTCTCAAACACTAGAACTTAATAAACATTTGTTATATGTAGGTGCTTGAAGACGATTACAAAGATAGAATTCTGATTACTCAATCTACAAAAGAAAATAAGAAATTGAAGTTTTTATCCCCTTGCAACTCTATCATTTATCGATTGAAGAATCAATATTGATCTTACAGGTAACATCTTTAGATTATGGATTGATCAAGCCACTCAATGCATATTGACGACAGGTGTGTTTTTGTAAAAAGAATTGTGACGCTGTCTTTGTTTTTTCATTTGTAAGTTCAACATTTATGAACATATTCTTGATTTCTTTTTGCGATTTTTGTACGATTTTGAGACAATTGCTGAAGATTGCATTGAAAAGTGGTGCTTTACGTCATGACATCCTTACTTTAGGGTTTTGGTCCCCTGTTTGTGGTGGAGTGTGGGTGTATTTCAAATCATATGGTATTAACTCAGAAAGCACTCGTACCAGTTGCACCATTGTGAAAGGTTTTCATTTTTCTTTTATTCTTCAACTTCAAACTGTTAATTTGTTCCCATTCTTCCCCTGATCATTAACTAATCCATCACCAATTTTTTCTGAAACACAGATTTGTTGAGGATTCTTTGACCCGTTTGAAGAACTGGAAAACCTAAAAATCAATAACGTATGGCAATTGATTAAAAATTAGGAATAAGATGAACCCAATTTGGCGATAAAAATGAAGACGAAAAATAGGATCTTTGATGGAAAGGGAAATTGTACCGGGTGGGTTGTTTGATGACGATAGAAATCGTTCGTCATTTATTCACTGATTTCTAATTTCCTTTATTTTTTCAATCTGTTATGTGTATTTTTAAATACCCTTTGTTAATATTCTCAAATTTGATGGAACTTTAACTTATTTTAAATTTGTTTTCTAGGTGATGATTACAGAAAAGTCTCAAAGTTGAGTCACAATGCTATCGCTGCTTCAAAATCCCTCATCATACCCAATTTCTGTCACCGAAATTCTTTACCCAGTTGATACATAATGAAATTTGTACAATATGGGCATAACGATTCATACTACAGTGAGACCCCATAGAGTTATATACAACATATATTGGTGAGTATTGGGAATCTTTATCACAAAAACATTTGGTATATAAGGTCTGTAATTGTTCAATGATTTTACGATTTTTTTTTATTTCCCAGGTTCAAATTTGGATGCTTTCATGATTGCAGGTGAAATCCTTAATTTCACTATGACATGTAACTCGACAACTGATTACAAGCCATTTTTAAAAGAGGCTAATAGGTGGATCTGGTAGGGTGGGTTGGAAGGTAATACAACAAAACAAGTTTGCAATTACCTATTGTTGTGTTTCAAAGGAAGTAGTAACTATTTTCTTTTTCTCTTACAAAATGGCTAATAACATAATGAAAAGCTCATGCATATAATCTTTTTATGTCACTGGATAAACGTTTTGCTGGGATTAGTTGGGTTTGGAATCCACTGCTCTTCCTGTTCTTGTGATTAGTGTGGCTGTTGTTTCTGATTTTTGGTTAGGGAATACTTCAAGGTTGGTTGATGAGACCGGGAATCCAACTGGTGGATTGTTTGGGACAGTTGTTGCCACAATGGGGATGCTTAGTACTGTAGCTTACGTTTTGACTATATAGTAGTCTGATGTATTGTGTTTTGTTCTGTTGTTTGTTTTTGGTTGTTGTCAACACATATGATGAAGGGAATATCTCGGATCAAGCTTCACTACCGCCTATGTTTGGTTTGATGAATCCATCTTCTTCATTCTCCCTCTAAATTTGCACTCCATTTGTCTTCTTTTTCTATCTTCTGCTTTGTTTTCCTTCTCCCAGTCAGTTTATTCAATTTTTAAGTTGATCGAAGGAAATGGATAAATGAAAGATAAACATATAATTATATATATATATATATATATATATATATATATATATATATATATATAATTATATGTTTATTGCTTATTAGTGTTTATTGTTGATATCTGTAGGGTGGGACCTCAATATTTCTTGGATTCGTCGATTGCAACTGGCATCAGAATCGGATTACTTGAACTTTCCGGAGATTGAGATGTAAGATTTATAAACTTCACTTGCATATGTTTTCAGCTTGATTGATACATAAACAAATATAACCTTATGTCATGTTTTTTCATGGATAATATTTTTTTTCATTTGCATTTGGATTTGCAATTTGATTTATTTGGTATTGCCACAATATCCTAAGTTATATATAAAGTTGAATAATATTTGATAAATCCAGTTCAAGTGAAGGTTGGAAAAGTTAGCAGTCCAACAGAGAAATAATTTACAAATGAATTTTTTTAGATAAATATTTTCAAAAGTATAGTAATGAATGCTTTAGCTTTTGTAATTTAATTGACACAGGTCATGCATGACTGTCTCTCTTGTAGCTCTTCAATTTCAGAGTTCCATTGAATGTTATTGTTTTAACAATTCACTCAATTACACACAATCTTATACAGATAACAAAACATTCACCAAAGAGCATGTATTTCTGTTATTGATGTAAAGAAGATGATGCCTTCCTGAAATATGCTTTGTTCAACATCTGATATGGTAGGTTGTAATATTAGGCTAGCAATGATTATAAAATTTACAGGTTTGGGTTCTTATTGAAAGAATGCGTATTTATTTTATTTTGATTTGGGATTTGACCTACTAGATGATGGGGATGGACATTGGAATCACAATTTCTTTGGATTTTCGTTCAAAGCATCTATAAAAGGTATCATAAAATACATTTCAATTTGATATTTTTTTTGGTTTGTTGTTCTTTGAGTATTTTTATGGCCTTTTTTGAAAATCCAAAATATTTTTTGGTAGTTTCTATGGATTTTGAAAAATTAGCATTAATATATTCTTTTGATCCTTGATATTCACCCTAACAAAAATGAAACATACTTTAAGAATTTTTTTTGACCTTTTTTCTAATCGTATTTTAGCGAATTTTTTGATGGGTTTATCGTCACCATCTGCTACCACTGCCATTACAATTTCTTTTTTTATTTAGTTTCAATTTTGATTCGCCATGGGAGCATACCTGTTCTACTTCCTTGAAGCAAAGTGAGTACATAGCAGCCATCAAGATAGATGAATTGAACAAAGGTTGAAGATGTCTTGCATTTGTAGGTTATTTATAATTGTTAAACCTCTGTTCCTATTTATGTTATAATAAATATAATACTTTATGGTTGTTTTTGTTTTTTTTACTGCTAAGCAATTCCTTATAATGAGAGTAAAGGACAAATGGAAGTGGAACCAATCCCACAATAACTACCTTTTTTGTTTTATTGTTATTTTTGTTGTTTAATAGTTAGTTATGAATTAGAATCTATTTTAATTTAGTAAATTAATTAATTTATATATTTTAGTTAAATCATTATCCCCTCCAATTTATCTAATTTTTTTTCTATTTTTTAAGAAAAAAGATTATTTCTTTTTAAGTAAAATTTTTGACTTTTTTCAAACAATTCAACCATGGAATGGAATCTCAGATTCCAATTCTGTCGGAACTTGAGAACCAAACGCAGTTGTGGAACACGAATGGGATCCTTCCACCAATAAAGAATAAGATTTTTATTACTTTTAATTTATCTCGATGGTCGGTTCTAATATTTTGATTATGCATTGTTTTTCCACAGACTATACCTAGCATGGAAGGTTCTATAGATATTGTTTCTTCTGGTCGTGGCTTGCAACAAATGGTAAATCATCTCAAAACATTTTTACTTTTTTGGTTCTTTTCTAGGGTATGATGTTGTTGTTGGAGGAATTACTCCAACACATCTTGGAGAAGGCAAGTCTACTACCAATGTTTGTAAACAATTTCAGTCTTTTTTGAATTCATGACATTTTTGTACTTTTCTAATTGTTTCAATTTCCAAGAGAAAGCAGCCTTAACATCACAAATCATCAGGAATTGATTTCATTTTTAACTGTGAAGAATGATGATGAGACGTAAGATCTAAATTTGTACATTTT